CTTTTGTTTTTGGGCGGCTGGCTCGGCAGGAGCTGGGGAGGAAGCAGGAGCTCACTCTGCTGGGCAGAGCTGGGCTCGAACCGCTGAAGTGTCGACCATTTCTGGCCGGCAACTTTCAGCGTCATTAAGCCGCTGTGCCACCGCGTCCCCTTTGATATGTAGTTAGCACACATCATATTGTATTAAGATCTGCTTACTAAGAATGCTTTGAGAGCAAATGCAAGCCTAGGGAAAAATCTTTGAAGTGCCCAAAACCATGCTTTGGTTGGGGGAGATTCACTCATGAAAAAATGGTGAAGATGAAAAGCAAAGGTCTTTGTCTACTCAGATAAGGCTTGGCTAATACCCAAACTGCTAATAATATCACCAGTAAATCAAAGCCTGTATCTCTTTCATTGTGTTTTATTTGGCCCTTTGTTTAAGACAAGCACATTAATTATCATGTTTGCAGAAGTCCTTCTTTAAGCTGTGGTGTTACCTAGTTTGGAGCTTCTCAATGGTAGGGAAGAAAAGAAGGCCTTTTTAAAGAAGGTTTGGGCAAGATGTTACCATCTAGGATGTAAGCCAATCTATAACTTATAGCAAGAGACAAGGCTTATGATGGTTGATCAGGAAAGTAAATGCTAATAAAGGATATTTATTAGCCATTTAACCATTAGGTAAAAACTGGAGTGGGAAATGTGTGATTCTTCAAATGCTGTCATATACAAGTCCCTGATCCCTTATGATTGTCATGCTGGCTAGGGCTAACAAAAGTTGAAATGTAGTAATCACTGAAGGCAAGGTCGATGGACTGAGTTACAGTGACAATGGGTGTACCATTGGAAGACCTGAAGGATCAAGTGAGGGACAGATCGTCATGGAGAAAATCTATCTATGTGGTCGCTAAGAATCAACACTAACTTGATAGCACATAACCAATAAAAAAATTACTGAAGGAGCATATGTTGCTCATCCTTGAATTAAATCATTCAAGGATTAGATAAAAAAATAAGAAGTAAATTTTTCCTTAACATATCTCCTAAACAGATGGCCAGGAAATTGAGAAACCATTGAAATTAATTCAGAATACTGGTAGACTGGGGAAGGGGGAAGTTTGCTGTTTAATCAGAAGGGAATGAGGATAGATACAATGTTTTTTAAAATATAAACTATGTATTTTATGGAAAATGGAGACATATTACTGAAATGTATGTATAATGCTACATATTATAAGACAGTGCTGACAGGGTAGTTCATTTGGTCAGGAAATAATTGCAAATACTAAAACCATTGTGCAATTATTTCACGTTCCACATATCAGGCAAAATGTTGGCATTTCAAATATAATTTTGTTTAGAGAGATTGTCTTACCAAATACCCATAAGATGAAGTGAAGTAGCATCCTTTGGATTCAGATCAATTGCTTTCTGTTAAGAAAAAAAGCAACATAATTCTTTATCACTGCTATCTTAATACTACCTCTATAACTTACACTTTCCCTTTACTTAATCTATAGCAATAATGAAATTACATTGTTGCATATCTTTGTCTGAAGAAAAGTAATGAATTTCAAATGGTTTAGGGAGAAGTATCTTTAGTATTTAGTCCACATTTCTGTGGCTTGTACAGATCAGATTTGCACTCCCAATGGATGAAAGCTAATGTTAAACCAAGTCTGCTAGCATCCAACTTTCTCTGTTCAAGCTCACAAAACTATATTTGGAAATACAAATATCCCTCTGAAAGATGTGGTTGAAGGACAAAGCAAATATTGAAGAAATTATAATCAGGGATGTACAACATTGAACAGTTACTCTCTAGAATTTCCATCTACCCCTTCAACAGGCTAATTCAAGTATTTCAGGGTAGTTTGTGTGTTCCCAGATGTATTATCTTCTAAAACAGGATGTGGTTTATTATATTCTGGGTACTTCTGGAATGTCACAAATCACCTCCTGGAGGAAAACTCTCAAACTGTTTGAGAGACAAACTGCTCCATCTTGCACATAACTATTTATCATGGAAAATCCACTTCTGAGGCGCTTATTAACAAGGACATAAGTAGTCTCCTTTAAAAAGCTTCTCGTGGAGTTTATTTTAATAGTCATGTACTTTAGGGGAAACAGACCACAAAAAAATTCTGAAAATGAAGGAAAAGCTTGATCATTAGAAATAATGGATCCTTAAAACAACGTCCGATATGCCTGAGCTACACTGAACTTAATGCAAGCCACACATGAACATTTAAAGCATGTATTAAGAAAAAAATTGGACAAATAAACTGAAATAAATTGAGATGACTTATTTTGCTTTTTCTGCTCTATATTTTAAGTTAATTGAAATAAATGTTCACTTCTTGCATCATGTAATGACATAGAAACTGAAACGTTTAAATTTGCTCTTTAAATCTGTTATTTCAATATCCACTTAAACAAAGAGGTATATTAACTACACTGAAAAGGAAGAAAAGGTAAAACCCAACAGGGTGGACTACAGAAGTTGTCAGCCTCTTGGGACTGGAACTGTGCCCCACAGCAAGCATTCAGCAAGTATAAATTGCAGCCTCTGGAAGAAGAATGGCAAGACTTCTGAAAGAGGAAGGACGATCATTCTAAACCCATGCTCACAATGCTTTTTCAAAAACATAGCAAATTACCCTTCTTTGGTTGCTTAATATTTAAATGTTTCCAATGTAAGCTTCAAAAATGTTATATTTTTTTGTAACAAAATCTCTGTATGCTAGGCAAAATCCATTAAATATATATATACTGGATCAGCATATTCCATATTAATGAGGACAATAATGGCAGTTCAATGATTCAATATATAATTCAATAATTAAAAACATTTCACTTTCTAATTTATTCTTCCTCCATCATACATTGCTCTTGGATTATGTTCAGGTTTGTGTGGCAGGGGACACAAGTTAAGGAAATTACTTTTAAATACCTGAAAGTGTTCCTTAATAACAAAAGCACTGGCAATTTTCTTATTTATTCCTTCATAATCTCCCACATCACTGAGACTTATTGCATACCACTAAATAAAAAGGAGAATGAAATAAATTATTTAGCAATATGGAATATTTAGGGATTAAATTACTATCATAATGTTAATAAATATTACATTTCTATCCATTCTACACAAAGATTTATTTGTTATTTCAAATTTCAATCAATACTCTCAAGTGGTTAACTATCTAAAATGAACTATAAATAGTTAAATTTATATTGAACTATTGAAAATTGAAAAGCATACAAGTTCTTAAAAGGCTCAGCTGAAGAGGAAGGTTTTAAATCAAGTAGAGATCACATGTAAGTCTTGAGAGAACAAACTCTGTAACTTTGGAGGAATGCAGAAGAATCTTTCCCACATCCCACATTCAGACAGGGCTCTGAAAAAAGATATTTAAAAGAAATTCTTCTATTTTAATGCCTAGACAGGTTCATACTGAAATAGGATATGACTAACTGGAACTGCCTAAGCCATTCCAGGCTTTTAAAGTTAAAACCTGAACTTGGAAATCACTGGCAGTAATTGAATTTAGTTCAATTATTCTTCTATGGTTTGCCTTACAGCTATGCAACACTTGTATTTTAAAAGCAAAAGGATACTCTGGAGCATGCAGGGACACCTAAGTTATATCTGTCTTCAACTTTTAAAGCAGCTGAATCTTTTCTTTGGATCATCCAGCTGCTTCTGCATCATTTTGCCTTTGAATATGCCTTAATTTATATTGCTAGTTGCAATACTTTCAACAATATTGCAGCTACTTTAAAGAGATCAAGCCAGTAGAATTATTATTGCAACTACTTGTTTCTGGAACTTTTGGATCTCATAATCAATTCATTTAGTTAGGCTGGTTTGAAATTATAACTGCTATGAACCAGCCTAACTAAATGAATTGATTATGAGTTTGTCATTTAAGATGTGAAGGAATTATTGCAATTTTCCTTTCAAATTCCTCAAACTCAGAAATAAGCCACTATAAAATATCAAATAAATTATTTGCTTATCTGACCTTGTGTACACAATAACAAGCTGCGTCTTTCTCAAGTGCCTTCTTTGCATAATCAAGGGCTTCATAAGCCAGCTGCCTCTTTTTTTCCGTTGAAATATGACTTAGCTGAGCAAGGTCATGTAATGCTCGTGCCAGACGCCACAACAATTGTCCATTTTCACTACATATTACATATATAACAAGATGCATTGATTATGATATATCACAGTAAAGTCTCAATGTATAGACATATTTATTATACTTTTAACTAGCAAACAATAGTTCTGTGGCAGAACTTTATATAAAATAAAACAATATTAAAAGTTACTCAACACTCAAGATGAAATAATCAGTAACACATCAGTGCATGACATTACCATAATTATAATGAGCAATAAACAATTTGAAGTTCTAAGAACACTAATTTTTTAAGAAATGCATTTAGGAGATCAAGAATGTAATGATTCATAAGTACTATCTCTGTGTGTGAAATTAAATATTCCCTCACTTTCATTTCTGGAGATGATTACACTTGCAGTGTACCTGCAATTTCACTAGCTTCAG